CCCCATCTGCCTAGCAGACTCCGTCTCCCTTTCCACTCCTGTCCTCCCATATTGACAAATCTGCAGCCAGCAGATTATATTCACAGTGTGAGGGAATCATTACCACCTGCTAATATTTTTATAGAATTTCATAAACTTGGTCATTCATGAATCATTTACAGTACTTTATTCCAATGAAGAGTTCACAAATCACTCAAATGCTGGCAAAATGCATAATAATGAGTAATATTTCAGGAGGCTTTGCATTAATATGTCAGCTTCCAATACTGTGAGAGCTAAATTATTTTGCCAGGTGCCACTTCAGGTCAGAAGCTTGAAAAGCCCTTTTGGGAACTGGGGTAGGGAGAGTAAGCAGGTGGCAGTGGGTCATGGAAAGGATGTTTTTTAAAAAGAAATCGATCATACAGCCAGTCAAACCCCCTTCCCAGCCCCAGTAAGCGGAGGGCCTGAGAAAGAGGCCTAGGAATTTAAAGATTAGATGTTAGAGTCTAGTTGGGGATAAAATAGGAAGAAACATTTCGTAGTGATAGAAAACTCAGGGCTTTGGAGATAGAGATAAACGGATATGGATCCCAGATTCAATACACACCAGCTGGGAGACCTTGAAAAAGTTATTTAACAGTTATTTGCTTATCTACAAAATGGTGTTACCACCTACTTCTTAAGTCTCTTGTGTGAAATGGATTAAATAAGAAAATGTACATGAAGCGGTTAGCAAAATATCAGCCATGAAGTGTTCAATAAACTTTAATGATGATACGCATTCAGGGACCCAAGGACAGATTTATCCCAGATTATTTCTTATTGTACAATTCCCCGAGGGTTAGTTCAGAATGCTTTCTTGTTGGATTTGGGAAATGTTAACACAATAGCATGGACTTCCATGTCGGTAGCATTTAACTTTAAAATAAACAACAACAACAACATTGGCACAATTATAATGGCAGCCTATTCACATGCTCTCCACTTTTTAAACTTCCAAGAAGGAAGACTAAAACGTGGGAATTGCAAACCTAAAGTTCAGCTATTTGAAGCAGGTTTGCTACCAACAACAATGAGCACCATGAACACCATGGATCTAACTGTACTACTAAGATGCTAAATTGCTTCTAAATAGGCACTTAAATGGATTGGAATTGCAACACTCTTGTGCCCAAAGTATGTTAACAACAGAGTAACTCAATACTTAGCAAATCTAGAAGGAGGAGAACCAAACACGAAGCAAGCAATAGGGGACCTTCCTCAGCAAGGACATGAGGAAAACAGGACAAAGGCTGAGTAGAAGAGTGAGAGGTGGGGGAATATGTCATTTGAAACTGGGCCCTCATGAGGCTAGTGAAGCGTGGCTCAGAACCAGGCCACAGTATTCCCAGTAAGCACCAGCAGTCTCCACTGGGCACGTGTGGCTCTGTGCCACAGGCAAAGCAAGCCACACCGTGAACAAGGCACAGCTTCCACGCATATCACCCATACGCACTGGCGAGGAACTTAAATCAGTTTATTTTGAAACAAAGCCTCAGCACTAAAATGAAAGCTACAGGAAGGCAGGCAACCTGGTGTGTCGTGTTCCCCACAATATTTCCCTGCCACGTTGGAGGGTGCTCCTCACCCTGTAGGTACTCAATCAAATATATGCAGACAGAATGGATTGGTCAATCAATCAATATATTGTGAAGTACATTATGAAACTATACCATAAAGTCAAGATTACTCCAGGAAAGTTCGTGGGCAGGCTAGACTACAACTCAGAGCCCTCGGAGTTTTTATTTACCTTCCTTTGCCTTTCATTCACATCGTTAACTTCTTACTCATGTAGTAAGATTATACAGTGCTTACTACGTTTCTGGCACTGTTCTCAATGCTTGGCATGTGTTAACTCATTCGAGCCATGAAAATCCTATGAGGTCAGTATTATTATTATTGCCACGTTACAGATGAGACAGTTGAGGCGGACACCCTGCCCGAGTTCCCAGAGCTAGTATATAACAGCCATGATTCGAACGCAGCCAGTGTGGCTGCGTGCGAAACTATGTTTTTAACTGCTATAATACTATATGGCTTCACTTTAAGAAAAAATATGAGAGGCTCCAAGCTTCCGATGTATTTTACCAGTTGATTTACAATTCCGAGTTAGCAAAAACTAATAATTTCATCTTTCACAATCCTTAGCGGTGCTAGTACTATCCCCACTTTATAAATGAGAACACAAGATCAGAGAGAGTAAGTGGGTTGCCCAAGATCACACAGCTTGGTAAGCAGCAGCACTGAGACTTGAACGGCAATTTTCTAAGCCCAGAACTCTTGTTCTTAATCACTATTATCATCTAAATATCACTTAGATAAGAATAAAATCACCTAAATTAAAAAAAAAAAATTAACGTAGTTCTCACTTAATCCTAGCCCAACGCCTTCGTGGACACTGGAAAGAGGCAGCCCCCTTCCAACAGACGCGCCCGTACTGCAGTGTGGCTCTCCGTTTACAGAGCGTGGGCTGGCTCAGGCCTTTCTCATTCCTCAGCCATCCCCCTTGTGCAGCAAATCTCTGTACAGTCATATGCGACAGCCACACATTCAGCTTTGTGGGGGCCAGAGAAAAGGGACATTTCATTATTCAGAAATTTTCCTTAAAGAATTTAAGCCTTCTTTGGCAACATCTAAGCCAATTGGTGGACCAAACACTATCTTTTCATCACTCTCTATTGATCCTTCAATGTTGGCCTTGGAGTTCTTTTCCTGGCCCCTGTGACCACCCCAAGGTGTCTTCCCCTCAGGGAAATTTCTCACTGTCCTGGAGATGAAGATCATTGCCATCTAAGGAGAATGTTCACACTGATGCAGGCCGTGGTTTATGGGGCCCAGAAGTCTCTCCCGTAATGTATAAGGACTCCCAAAAGGGCGACTTTAATTTTTAAACTACTTTTGGATCCCACGAACATCAGATAGAATTAGCCAAGGATGCAGCCAACCTCTTGCTCAACTCTTCAAATAGCTCCTAAGGGATCACCCCAAAAAGGCATCTTTTAGTCTCTCATTTGCCAGTTCTCATTCCTGGAAACCTGCCTTTTCCATTTTTTTCGATTCATGCTCATCCCATTTCCAGGCTACAGAACACTCCCCTTTTGGATCCCACGAACATCAGATAGAATTAGCCAAGGATGCAGCCAACCTCTTGCTCAACTCTTCAAATAGCTCCTAAGGGATCACCCCAAAAAGGCATCTTTTAGCCTCTCATTTGCCAGTTCTCATTCCTGGAAACCTGCCTTTTCCACTTTTTCCGATTCATGCTCATCCCATTTCCAGGCTACAGAACACTCTCAAGAAGATCTCTCTTTTATTATCTTGTACCTCTTTCATCCCCCAGGAAATTCTTGAATTTGGCTTCATCCAGGAATCTCTGATACTTAAAAGAGGGGAGCAAACGTTTTTGATGTTTGATTCATGTCAGGAATTCACGTCAGGAGTCTGTGGACCGGGATCCACAGACTCTCATCACATCACTGCCCTGTATCTGTCCAGCACTTTAACACCTCCCACGTCCTCAAACTAACTTTTCTTCACTGGAAACTCACAGCAGTCCAATTGGGTAGAGAGGCAAATGTTATTTGCATTTTATGACTGAGATCCTGAGGTCCTGTGCCTACACGGTGTTCTGTTCCCAAGGTCAAAAACTCACGGTGACAGAGAAGGCTAGACCCAGAGTACCTGTTTCCCAGCCAGATACTTTGACTTTTCAATGCAGTGTCCCTCCATTCATGTCTAGAGAGAAGAAGGAACATGAGTTTTGGGGACGGAGGCAGTAGTGTTACTGAAGGGGAACTGGGATGCCCTTATGTGGTGTTGTGACCAAGAAAACCAGAGATGCTAAATCCAGTGCTGGTGACTGGCCACCACCTCCTGACCCCAATCCAGGGAAACGCACACATGATGGGCAGTGGCGACGGAAAGCAAACATGTTGTCTGGGCCTTGTTCCCACAGTGCATGCTTCCATCTTCTTGGTGTACTGGGTCCCATGAAAGGCTTCCCTGAAAACTGCTAAGGATTCCATTTCATTGCTGAAAGCATGAGCTCACTACCCTCAGAGGCATGGGTGCCTAACAGGCTGTGAGCACGAAACTGTTTTGGGGGTGTGGTAGGACAGACCTCCAGCCTATGTGAGATTTATTGCTCCCTCCAATAACTGGGTGCAACTGCTTTGGTCTCTGTATCCTGAATGGGTATCAACTTCTGAAACTATCTTTTCACAGATAGCCTTTTATTTTCCATATAAAAGTAATTTAAGTACATTGAAGGGAAAAAATAAAAACAAAAATAAAAAATCAGTAACACCCGAACCCAGCCATTAACACTCTGATTTTTGTTCCATTATGTTTCTTTGCAAACGTGCACCCATTATGATATGTGAAAATGCTTGATCTGCAATGAGGATGCCATACGTGTTTGTGTGTTTGTTTCCATTTGCTGTCTGGACTCTCTCCCATATTGCTAGACCTTCTTCAGAAATATTTTAAATGCAAAATTATGTCATAATTTACCCTATTACTGAATATTTAGCAATTGATTGCACATGAAGGATCATGTCCTGCTACAACATTATTGCACAAAAATCTAACTAAATTTCCCCTATTTCCTTAGGAGAGATTTCTAAAAGTAAAATGATCAGGTCCAAGGGTTTACATCTTTTACTGCTCTTGATTATCAAGTTGGTTTCTGGAAAGCCAAAGCTGTTCTAAGGGTCTTGACCTCCTCTGAGTTCCCCCGGGACCCCGCTTAGTCTCCAGTACCCAAAGTCTCACACAGGCCTGGGGGGCTCCACTGATGAGACAGGAGCCCCCGCTGTTGTCCCGCCGGGGTTCAGTGCCACTCAGCTCCCACAGAGACACACTTGAAGCTGTACAACCCCGGGTTTGATGAAGCACAGAAATAATGAGCTCAGTGGGAAGAACACAATCTTTGCACGCCACGGCTCTGCATGCAGGGTGGGCACTCGAGGGGTACTCACTTGATAAGTAGCAAACATTTCTCTGTCCAAGTTCCGTGTCACAGAGACGCTACCCGTGTTCTCATTGATTCTGAAAATTCCTTTAGGCTCTTGATCCACTCCCTTTCCAGTGAGCCGGAACTTGGACCCTTCTGGTCTGTCACTGTCAACTACCTGGTCAGAGAAACAGAGTGACATTTAAGACTCGGGCACACAGAGAAAGCGCATTACAAACATACGTCGGTGACCAACCCAATAATCACAGGTGCTAACACAAAGGTGCCTGATGAACTTGATTAAAGCAGCATCACCAAAAATAGCACCATTACTTAATGCCTTTCATCCTGATATGCAAATCTTTGCAGGTTATAGCTGAGGCAGCTTACCAGCATTGGGGTGACATATAGTGATGGATGGAGGAAGGAAATAACTCCAGGAAGTTCAAGGTCGACATTTATATTTTTAAATCCCAAGAAACAGATATACTATTTTTCTGTAACCAAGACCAAACAGGCGATGGGAAAAACATGTATTCAATAATCCTATACTGGGCAAGCATTGATTACATTTCCAGGTATTTACATATATCTGGTCATTAACAGCACCACCTGCCCCATTGTTTCTGCCAGGTACTAGGCACAGTGCTGAGGAAGCATTTTACACACATTTTTGAAAAACCTCACAACAGTGTTGGGGGCAGAGGATATTATTATTCATATTTAATGGATTGAACCACTGAGACACATGGAGATTAAGCATGCTGGCCATGGCCGCAGCTATTAAAAAGATGAAGATGGGATTCAGAGCTCATCTTCCATTTCTCTAGAGACACTGCTATGTAACACTGTCATTTCTGAATTTGCTTTAAGATAATTCCCTACAGATTGTTAGCCTTGCTTTAACATTGGATGAATGAATTCAGAAGGTAAAGATGGGAGAGGGTATTTCCAGGTAGAGGGAACAGGACAGAGGCAGCAGGTAGGTGAGAGAGAGCCTAGAAAATTCCAGAAACTATGTCACTAGCATGGTTTGGGTAGAGGTAGGGTGAAAGGTAATTAGGAACCAAATTATATTTTGTTTTCTTTAAGATATTTGAAGATGTCCAACTAAAGAGAGAACTATTATGTGCATAAATTGGTTCTCGAGTTTGCTCATGCAGTCATCTACATTTAATTTAACTTTATCATCAATATTTGCAAGCATAAATTTGATTATAACAATTTAAAAGTCAGGAGCACAATAGACATTAGGAACATACAGATAAAAAGGAAGCTGATGCCGATTCAACTGTAATCACGTTAAAAATGAACAGGCACCTGTTGGAACTTAGTCAACCGTGCCTGGAAGGTTTAGGTGGCTAGCCCAAGAAATGTGCCTTCTAGTGGAATCAGCCTCTCTCCTGTGGCAGCCATGTCTTTGGCTACCAAGCCTGCAATTCAAATGGGTGCCACCAAGTGGCAGTGGTGCCTAAGGCAGCACGACCCTCATGACCAGGTTCCTCTGCCACAGTTGTGAGTATGATACAGTGCCATATGGCAATATGTTTTCTTCTGATTAAAAATATTCTTTATTAAAATACACTGAGTTTTGATTAAACACCAACTATCTCTGTTTGCATTTCAAGATTAACAGAAAATATCATTTAAAACAAGATTAAAAATAAGGTATGTGATATCTCCTGAAGAAAAGAATTATTAGTCGCCGCTCTTCACTTGATTTAATCCAACTGCCATTCTCCAGACCCACTTCTGCTGCTTGGAAGCTCCAAGGGGTCAACAGTCTCAGCATACTGGGCTCACCACTGGATCCTAGTGCCTGGCACACAAGGCCAGGATCTGTTTAATGAAGAGCACCGCTGTTCAAAAGTACGCTCCAGTCCCAGCTTGGCCAGTGATCAACCATGCGACCTTGGCCATGATGCTTTGCCTCTTTGGCTCTCGATTTCCTCATTTGTAAAATGAGGATAACACCACTTATTTCCCAAGGCTGGTGGGGTTTTAATGAGATAGTACGTGCAAAGTACAGTTCCAGGCACATAGGAGGGGTTCCATAAATCGTAGCTAATGATTGCAATACAAATAGTAACAATCATGACAAAATTATGCTCTTGTTGGTAATGGGTAAGACTTTACCTCTAGGCATAAAAATCACCTTAGTCATAATATTTTACAAAATCCAAAAGGGAAAATATTTCCTCTTTACAAACCTCTCTCGTTTGAGGAGTGTTCTGAAAACACACCGTGCACGGGAAAGGGTAGCTGAGCGAACGCCGCTCTTTGTCACCTCCATGTTTACTGTCACTCCCCTCCCTCTCCTACCACTTCTGCCATACGTGGTTTAAAATCCTCTTCCTCTTGCTCCCTTAAGCAAACTCAAGAGGTAGGTCCTCTCCAAAAGTCCTTATTAAGCTAGAAGACAATCTCCTGGGAAGTGAACATGGGAAATTTGCGAGAACCCTGGAGCTGCCATGCTTCCCAAGAATGAACTTCTAGTCCGGTCTATCTACTAGACATGGCCCATGGACCTGCTTCTGTATTCTGTTCTCCTTTCTTAACCCTTCCCTGCCCAGAAAGGGTTGGGAGGGCAGCACTCCAGACCTTCTGGTAGAAGTACAATGGGAAACAGTCTCGAAAGCTCTCTCGGGCCAAATATCATTACCCTCTCATTTCTCTACTTGCCACTTAGCATGGAAAACTGAATCCTACTCAGAAATTCTCCTGGGGGTGACTTTCCTCCTCCTGTCAAAGTCAGATCTGGGTCATTTCCTTGCTCTCCCTCAGACAGCTTGACCCACTTGACCTCACAGAAGCAGGGTCTTGCAGAGAAGACTGTTTAATTAGC